TGCCTGCAGGACATTCGCAGAGAGCCGCGATGACCTCCAGGGCTACCAGGGTTTGCGCCGACCGCGGGTCGTTGCCCACGACCTCCTCCTCTTCCTCCCCCTCCTCCTCCTCTTGCTCCGTCGGGGGTGCGTTCTCATCCACTTCTTCCACTCGTAGTTTGATGCGGACGCGGTACTCCTTGTCGGCCGAGAAGGAGGCGCCCGCGCTGTGCGTTGTCAGTTGGAGTTTATTCCATCGGGATGGGAAGGGGGTAAGGCGAAGTTTTTTCATTTTCGAGTTTAATTTTTCCACTACACCGTTANTTGTCAGTTGGAGTTTATTCCATCGGGATGGGAAGGTTGTAAGGCGAAGTCTTTTCATTTTCGAGTTTAATTTTTTCCACTACACCGTTGCTGACGGAGCAAGAAGCGATCGAAAACAAAGTCAACGAAATGCAGCGTACCGCACCGTCATGCCGTGCGGGGAAACGAATCAAGAACACATCGCGGAACGGTCTATCCCTCGAGTATCGCAGAGGGTAACTTGTTTTGTGTACGATGCTGGCATCAGGGTCATTCCGACGGGAACATCTACACGGCTTTTATTATGGTCAAGATAGAAAAGCACGGATGCCACGGAAAGTACCTGGGCACGTGGTGCACGTAGACCCGGGTGGGAATATGCTGCGCTGTCACCGTCGAACCGTACGTCGGGACTTGATCAAGCATACTCCATCCAAGTAATCCGAACATCCAGACACAACAACGTTGGAACACACACCGGAAACATTATGACGGCAACACGAAGCAGTCTATGCCTATCCTCCTTCCAGGCGGGGTGCATATCGTGCGCCTCACCTAGTCCCAATCCACATTATGCCCCCTGCTGCCGAAACGGCCCAGAACCTGCTTAGGTTCCCCATGTCCAACACCCGCTGCAGCGATCTATACCACAGCCGCGAGCCCTCGCCGGCGAGTTTGTTCACTTCTCGCATGAACCGTAAGATTACGGCTTTCGATATCTCGGGGAGATGCCGACGCATAGCGGACCACTCCTTTATGCGCAGCCCTGTCGCAGGAAGATCCGGCATTAGCCTGGCCTCCTTTTCTTCAAAAGAGCTGAGGTCCGGAACGGGATGGCGAAACGCCAAGTTGGTGTCCAACACGCCGCAGCTCCTGATCAGTCTGACGACATCCCCGGCCATCTGAGCAAGGAGTGCTTTGTTGAACCCGCTGGTCCCGGCGTTGTCGAGACACCTAAAAACCTGACGGCATAAATGCACATGACAAGGGGAGCATCCCAAGCGTGTGGGGCGCATATACGTTCATGCTTAGCTGATGACGCACACCAAAACCCACCCGCTTTTCTTAGGCGAAGTACAATGTCTATCTTCCGATACAATTTGCTATCTCCACGTGCAGTCGCCGCGTGCATCTCGTACCCCATCGCTGCCTCGAACAGAGCGCGAAGAAACCAAAACCTCTAGGTTCGTTGTTACCCTACGCACAATAATCCCGTGTTCGACCTACTGCTGTTGCAGAGAGGTTGACGCGCATCGATATCTGACTTGTGATCAATGTGACCATTACCGTAAACAGACTGCGAGGGGGGCTGAATTGCACATATTCGGCGACAATGGTGTACTTAATCTGGTTT